TGCAATTAATGAATGAGTCTGAATGAATCTTTTAGCTGAATGAACCCAAAAGGATTGATAAATTCTGAAAGAATGACGATTTCCATCTGTACCCATGGTTTAATGGTATGGTACTGTCATAAATTTTTATTGTAATTTGCATTCTTTCAGTACTATAGCCCTACTATACAGTTCTGGGTTAGTGATTGCACTTAGATGACGCAAACATTCATTGACTAAACACGTCTTATTGCTGGACATAAAATATTGGGTTCTGTGTTTTTCTCAGCGTAGTGCTTTATGCACGATATACAGATTTACAGCGATCGGCAGACATTGCTTTTAACAAAGCATGCTGATAATGCATTCACAAGTAGTACAGAGAAAGTATAAATTGTAAAACGATCGGAAATGTAACACGATTCTTCAGAAAGTGCTATTAGCATTTACTTACGAGTGTGACCTTCCATGAGAAGTTCCTGCGCTTTCTTCTGATATGGAAGATGATTGACAGACTAACCATTATCATTACTATTAATATTGCATATGATGACTGGAGGGACTATGAATGTTCCTGATTCCATTAATTATTGATTATATACCTTGTAGCTTTGAAAATCGATTACAATTAGCCGTTAACATTAACAAGCAAAAGTTTTGAAAATCCTCGGTGTTGACATGCAAAACTTCTGTAAAATATATAACAAAGTTGTGCAGAATTATGAGCATATTTGCCATTATACGGTTTCCTTTGAATTCCTTGTTATCAGCGCATGGTTATATCACAAAACTGAGAGTTTCCCAACTGAATTTTTTTAATGATAAGGGATACAACATCTATGAAATGATTCCTCTCCAAAATACAGTTAAAAGATCAAATGAAGGCTCGTTCTGCAGGCAACAGACTTGTTCATGATTTGTAATTTTGCAAAATCTGATTAAGGTCAACATCAATTCTCCCCTGCCCTGAGAGGGTACAGGAAATAAAAAGTAATTTCCAACAGGCCTGTCCTTTGTATCAGGGTGAAGGCACATTGCTCTAAGGAGCATCAGCAATGTAGCAGCACTAACATTTTTTGCAAATTTACAATTTGGTTACAGAAAAGAAATGATATAGTGGTTTAGCGGTTAGCACTGAAATCTCTGTTCTGTGTGGACTTTGTATGTTCTCCCTGTATTTTGAACGTTATCCCTGTATTTTGCACATTGTCCCCATATTTTGCCAGTTCTCCCTGTATTTTGAACGATATCCCTGTATTTTGAACGATATCCCTGTATTTTGCACATTCTCCCTGTATTTTGCCAGTTCTCCCAGTATTTTGCACATTCTCCCTGTATTTTGTATATTCTCCCCATATTTTGCCAGTTCTCCCTGTATTTTATATGTTATCCCTGTATTTTGCACGTTATCCCTGTATTGTGTATATTCTCCCAGTATTTTGCACATTCTCCCTGTATTTTGCCAGTTCTCCCTGTATTTTGCACATTCTCCCTGTATTGTGTATATTCTCCCAGTATCGGTGTCATTGGCTTTGGATAAACTGAGGCGTCAGTGCTGTCACTCTAGCTCTACACTAGAGTGCTGATGTTCAGGGAGTCCCCATGCCTGTGTTTCCGCCTGTCTCTCCCTCTTTCTCATGCTGCTATACTCAGACCTGCCGGAGCCTAGACGAATATTGCACTCGATCATTTTGCTTGCACTGCCTCTGATTTCCTCAACTCTGGCTAATACACAATTATCCTTACTTCCTCCCTCACCCCTTCTGGGGTGTGCTCCATGGAGCACAATGTCGTTGAAGAGTTTATGCCTCTGCGGCCTGCAAGACAACTACCTCAACCTCCGGCAACTACCCTCCAACCTGCCTGCCCTTGGCTCAACACGATGCCTCGCCATCCATCCTGTGGCTGTGTGTCTATTAATCCTGCCATCGTGCATCAAGCACCCCGTGCCTGCACCGGTCGACCGCTGCATTGCGACATATATTTCAACCCCTGTATTAGCTTAGTCATTTCATCTTGTTTGTTTGACTCATCTGCCGGCCCCTGGAGGATGGGCTCCCCCTTTGGGTCTGGTTCCTCCCAAGGTTTCTTCCTCTTAGGGAGTTTTTCCTTGCCACCGTTGCCTTTGGCTTACTCAATGGGGGGTCCTTACGAGGCAGAAATGTAAAGCGCATTGAGACAATGTAATGTTGTGATAATGCGCTATATAAATAAAATTGAATTGAATTGAATATTTTGCACATTCTCCCAGTATTTTGCCAGTTCTCCCTGTATTTTGCCAGTTCTCCCTGTATTTTGCACATTCTCCCTGCATTCTGCCTGCTCTCTCTGTATTTTGTAGGCACCTTTTGGATCCTCCTACAGTCTAGTAACTCATGGTTAGATGAACAGGTGTCTCAAAATTTCCAGCAGTGTGATTTCCTGCCACAGACTGGCCCCCCATCCAGGGTGTCCCCGGCCATGTGCCCTGCTTTCCTAGAACAGGTTACAGGGACACTGTCACACTGAGGGGCAATTCTAGGCCCCCTGACAAAATGTCACCTTGGGCCCCACCTGCCGAATAAAATTAATAATTTTTCGTATTCAATGGCCTCTGGAAAGTGCTGGGGCCCCGGAATTTGCCATGGTACCCATGTCTCTTGTACGCCTGGTCACAATGCATTGGATTATTTGCTATACAAAACTTATAAGACAAGGTAACTTTCTGGTGGAAATGAGTAAACATTACTCTGTATATAGATTATAATGTTCATTCTGTGTTGGTTGGATTTCCTGGAAAATCCAGTTGACCACGGCCATTTTTGAGCTAGTATCAGGTGTAATTCATGTCCCGACCTGGGAAATATGCAGGCCTTATAGGATGTGTTACCCCGCCATGGGAAACACATTTGCTTATTTTGCTTTTTCGTAACGACTCATTGAATTCGCTTTCACTTTGGTGCGATGACCCGGAGACGTCCAGTAAAAACACGCATTCAAGTCAACTTCACAAAGTCGTAAACCCAGAGATGACGGCTGGGAGTTTCATCTGGAAGACAGATGAACTTTGTTTTGGTTTGACGGCTAAGATTGTTCCTGAGGGTGGCCCTTTGCCCTAAAATGGGGCCTTTCCTCGACGGTGTGAATTTGCAAGGGCAGGGTTGGGAGGTAGCGCGACTCTGACGAGTCTGCAGAGGATTTTCTCTTGTCAAGGAAGGGCTGGCAAGTGTCTCTGTTTAAGCTGCTAGCAGAATTACAATAAATCAAGCACAGGTTACAGGTATGCAAATGAACGGATTACACGGGGTTTGTACAATAATCCCCTTGCAGTTCAGACAGTGACAGCCCACTGCGCACTGCGCACTGCATAACCCTACAGGCATATTCTGGGATATTTCTCACTGGGTTATTGCAGCATATATGTGGTAGAAAGGTTACATGAAGAACAAGAGTTTTCCGTGAGTTGCGTCACTTTAAAGCTGAGCTCAGCGTTTCAGAGTTTGGGCAGTATCCATCAGGTCTTTGCCAGCCCACAATTCGGTCCAGAGATTTGTGATGCTACTGATTCTGCCGTTCTGAACTGTAGAGTCATTCACTCCATCTTTTGTTGTTTTCTGAGATGAGGCCAGCAGTGATCAGGCTTCCTCATCATATGTTACAGCACTGGGAGTCAAAACTCACTCAGTCCTCTTGTAATACAACATATAACTCACGTTACATTTCCAAAATCACTAAGTCCACAGAAATGTTCTCAAAATTGTGTCCTGCGGACTGAGAGAGTTCCGGAAACGTGCTCTTCGCTTTGTCGCGCCCCCTCATCTGTCTTCCTTTCCTCCTGCTGCAGAGTCACCCGTGTGCTCATCAAAAAATGAAGAGGAAAAAAAAAATGCTTAATTGCAGCATCAGCCACCAGCTGAAAGTGACCACCAGGTGATCGGGCCTCCCCAGCGCGCGTCACCGTTACCGAGACACGGGACTAGCGGTGAGGGGGAGCTGGAGCCTGCCATCGGGTCGCGCGCCGTTGAGCTCTGGAATAATCTAGAAGGGCGGCAGATGGCTCAGCGATGGCGCAGTTTCAAGCGGGACGGCGGGGATAATGCTTGGGCCCTGTCCCTGTCCCCGGCGACTCCTCATGATCTCTGATCGCGGCTGGTGGCGAGTGCCGGGCTGTTTTTCTCCTGCCCTGAGGAGCTGTGCTGTTTATTGCATGATCGAAACCCCCCCGCTGGCGTTCGCTTATATGTCAGAGAGCCTGCGTCCGTCCCCCGGGGCATAACACAGGGCTAACTTGTCCTGGCATAACCTGTTTACATCCACTCAGCCATGGCAGCTTGTCGTCTGCATTCACCCCATCTGCTCTTTTTGCACTAGTGTTATTTAGTGCTACATTTCCACTATTATTTCTGAGCACCCGGCACATGTTGCTGTGCGACTGGCTTATGTAATTACTGACCAGGCCGTTTAATTGCTAGCTAAAGGGTGCGGGGGCGGGGGGCGGACGCGAGCGTGTCAGCGCTGCCCCAGACACCACAAGGACATAGACATTTGGGTGACAATTGGTGCCACCGTGCCCCGCCCCCCTCCTTCTCGAAGCTCGGCAAGGCCACTGCGATTAGGCCCCGGAGGACGAGAGCTGTGTCAAAAGCTGGTATTCACCATGGCTGCCAAGCGCTGGGGCGGCAAAGATCAGAGATTTTGTCCCATCAGAAGTATCACTCTGCAATCCACCTTTGACTCACGGGTGCCAGTAACAGAGCATAAATGCCGTCACTCGACGGGGTCTTGAAACCAGCTGTGGTCTTTTTCCAGGAAACTTCATGCAACTCTCCTCCCAGTTTCAGTCATAAATACCCCAGGTCCTCCCCCCGTGACCAAACGGCGTGACTGCAGACTCGCACAGATGGCTGAGGAGTGAAACAGCCATTCCCAACTCTTAAACTATCATTTCACCGCAGATTCCCTTTTCGCCTTTCACATTAGTCATGAACCGCTCTCTTTGAGTTTATTTAGCGGGGTGTGATAAGTAGAGTAATAATCATAATTAATCACGGGAGACTATGTTTGAGCCAACAAATCTCATTAACGACCGGCTGAGAATCGCCTTCAGTAAGTAACGCGTTTTTTTCCTTCTGTGATCTATTAATAAAGCGTCCCATTCCGCGCAGCCTGTTGCGCACCTGATAATTTTGCGATTGCATATCTGTTTCCTAGTGTCTGCCTCGCATCCTAAAGCACTATGTCCAAGGAACTGTCAGCCTATTTGTAGAAAAGAAATAAGATGGTTACGGCTGTCAAAACAATCTCCAGTTTCATTTTAAAGGAGCTGAATCTGTGCCCTGAAACAAATTATTTAAATAAACTGTGAGATGGTAAGATGTGTCCTTGAAGACCAATTTATGGTGATCCTACAATCCAAAAAAACTACACTGACCTTCAAAGGCCACATTTTACATATATGAGAGCTTTCCACGTACTGGCCCTCGGCACTAACCCCACATATACGAAGGTAACGCACATATTCTCATCTCCTACAGCGTTTTTTTTTCTCAACGGCAGAGGGCGCTGTGACCACATACCACCTGTCAGATTAATACGGAACTCGATTTACCAACTTCCCGGCAAACTTTACCAGCAAAAAAAAAAAAAACACTAGAAAGAATGTCTTGCATTTGCATTAAAATGGCATTTTATCGGTGAGTCTTTCGATGTAATATATTGCTACGGTATATTTTATGACGTCTCAACATTGTAAACACTTTATAGGAATTATTATTTGTTTTTCCCATAATGCAAAGTGTCAGCCGTATACTTTCCCATTAATTTCACATACCTGTTCGCTTTGTGATTTGCAGCTGATCCGCGCCAATGTTGACACAATGGCGTCCGCGATAATAGCTGGGAGCAGCAGGCCAGCTACTGTGGCACCAACACAATTGCTTTAATTATTTCCTTGGACGAGTTTCTCTGCCTATTAGCCAGTTCAGGTTCTGTGGTTGCTCGCCCCCCCTCCCGTCCATTGTCGTTTGCGAAGCCATTGGTGTGAGCTGGCCCACTTTCTCTGTCCCATCAGTCAGTGTGAAAGGCTGTGGAAGGCCAGACCTATTGGGCTCTGATCCGTATCTGTGGGCCCACGACATGGGAAACGGGCATGGGAAATTGCAACAACGCTGGGGAGACCAAAAGGCAGTGTCAACAACGAGTTAGCTATGTTTTTTTTTTTTAAAAGACAGGCCCCTCCCCCTCCCCAGGCTGCCCATACAATGCACAGAATAGGGCCAGCTTTTCATAGGATGAGCTTCAGCAGACCTGGGAGAATAATGGAGTCAAGGCCCAGCCAGAGTACTGGGGAACACAATTAGCAATATTGGCTGATTTAAAGAGGCTGTTAACTTAAAAGGCCCCTCTGCACATCTCTAGTTGGGGTAAAAGACACCGATGTGCAGTTTCTGGCTCTTTCTAAGTAAAAAAAAAAAAGTAACTACAGATTTTACAGTGTCCTACCAGAAAAATGTGATAGGCTCACAGAAATGCGTTGCACCAAGAGTCCTTTCCCCAAACTCTCAGAAAAAAAGAGTACCGGTTTGTACCTTTGCTTGTCACTGGGGCTGTACCCTCAAGGGTCTGTCAATTGTACCCTTAGCTTAAAATGTACAGAATTGTAAGGTACAGCCCCAGTGACAAACAAACTGGTCCCCTTTTTTCTAACAGTGCAGGATAATCCCGACATAAGGATTGTAAGGCTTTCAAATTTGGCAGATTATGATATTATTTTAGGATCTGGAGTTTGAAAGAGCTAAATCGCATGGATGGAACGTGAACATCATGGGTCTGAACGTAATTTTTGTCCTTTATGTTCCTCTAGAAATGAGATCTGAGATCTAAGTTTGAAACTGCACGTATGTCAAAGCAGAATGTGAAAAACGTGGTACCTACAGGTTCTGTGAAAACAAAAACACAACACTAAATGAAAACCAATAGTGCTTTATCCTTGTTAACCACAATGCTAGGGACACAGTATTTTTTTATGAAAATGAAACGTCAATAATACCGTGAAAAAATGAGAAAATTCCGGAATTGTGAACGTAAAAACACCGTACATGACCTTACTACACGTATCTACACGTACAGAGGAGCCAGTGTACATTTCTTTTTGTAATATTAACCGCGCTGACATATCCGAGGGGTGTGTTCGATTTAATTTGATATATTAAGTAACAGGATTTAGCAATAGTAAATTCCAGAAGACTAGGCAATGTGCGATTATGGTAATTCTCCCCATTTTTGCGCCCATTATATTTTCCACTACTTGCTCATAGTACATGTTTACTTTCACGCTACCATGAGAGAGGCGTCCACTGCGCCAGTATTACATGCTGATTGCATTTTCAATAGAGTATAATCCGACCCCATCCACTCGGTGGATCCAAGCAGGGCAGTTTCTGTGCATAACCCAGGTGTTCCTACAGCTCCTGTATTAGTAATTCAGATTTCTGGGGAAAATAACGCCCACAGCCTGCCTCTTTCAGTAATTTGAAACGGGATAAAACATCGTTTGATTTTAAGATGTGCACGAAACAAACACCCAGGAGATTGTGCGTGATTCACGACAGTAGTCTGTAGAAGGTGCTTTTATTAGTGTTGTTTTTTTATTTTTACTGGGAAGCAAACGGGAGTGAACGGCGACGTAGATTTTTTTCCCCCCATCTAGCTTCCTGAGAAATTTTTGCTTCTTTCCCCAGCCCGTGTAAAACGATCTCCTCCGGGCAAAGCCTTTTGTACTGAGTAAGGGGGAGGAGAAGCCCCATTCTCTCCTTCATCGTCATTTTTTTCCTTCTCCTTCTTCCCCGTTTCCTGTTCCCGATGTAACTCCGGGCGGATGTCAGCCGCTCTCACAGGTGTGCCTCGGTAAAGTCGCGGGTTTCAGAGGAAACACACCTGAATTAATCATGTGATCCGGTACCTGGGCGTGGAGAAAGTCTTCGTCGTCTCTCCGCGGCGTTTCGTTCCCAGCGCCAGTCTCCTTTTCTCACTCGCCAAGTGCTTCTTAAGCTGCCCCGTTCCCCGGGAATGCTTGTTTCCTGTTGTCTTCTGCTTAGCTTTGCCAGGAGAAAGATGTGAACTTTTTCCCCAATCCACATTGTTCGTATCTGGAGGATTACATTTTTTGATTTTTTTCCTGGGGAACAAAACAAGAAAACTAGGACGACAGAAGTGTTCGCGCACGAATAGTGTTTCCAAGGTGAGTTCGATTATATTTGTTCTTTTTTCGATTGGTGACGTGAAGGTGTCGGGGACAGATTTGAGTGCCTTTTCGGGTTTATCGTGGCCATCAGCTGTATCCATTGCCGAAGTTTTTTTTAAAAAACGCCATGAATTAAAACAATCTGAGGGCGGAAAACACAAACTGGTTACAGAGTAACTAGTAGGAGCCGCTACGGCGGATCGCGGCTGAGCTGCATCTGCAACAATGTTGCGATCAAAAGGGAGCCCGATCCAGCTTTGTTTGTCAACAGCAAGCCCACAGTACGCCGTATTTAAAGGTGTGCAGGTCGGATCTCAACCATGCAAGTCCCCTCATCCGCCATGCGATCCCTCCCAATTTGTGACAATTCGGAGAAAATGTTTAGAGGAGAAAGGTTGGTTTCCTATAATATGGGTAGAAAGGATTTCGAGTAGCGCGGACCGGCGTGTGATCAGGACGCTCCCATCAGTTTTTAAATAAATGTTTGTTTAAATTCCTAGTAAATCAAAACGATTTGCCACATTGTATCGCGACGTGAAAGTAAAAAAAGAAACTACACTGTGTATTCCCAACTACAATCGGCTGTGAAAATCGCTGGGAGCAGAAAAGCAGATCGCTGTTTTGTGCCGATCGTATGTGCTTTAACGATACTTTGCTTTCGTTATCACATGGAGTCCTATTGACAAAAGCTGGGCGGCATATTTTCCACACTGTTGCTCTGGATCAAATTCCACGTTTCGACATATAGCTTAAGGAGTCTTAAGACGGACTAAATGGACCCGATCCCTTTGTCGTACTGTATATAATAATAACACAAATAAATGTGATTTATTGATTATATGGAATGTGGGTTTCCCTCGAAAGAAGTTCTTGGTTTTATCACGTTTTAGGTCGTCAACGTGACTGGAGTCCTCGATTTAATGAGAACTGTTAGCACCTGAATTCAAAAGCCGTAACTGATAAAAGGGACTATGTTTAAATGTCTCATTTTCTAGTGAGTAACTCCGCTGTTTGTTTTTCTTCGTGTTGAACATGAAAACAGTGGGTCCATTCATGTGCTTCCTGGGTCTCTTGATCTGTGCTGTCAATCCGTACCCCCTAGTTCCTGGACCTGTGTATCTCTCACTGTACAGCCTTGTCTCCTCCTGAATCGGGTAAAAAAAAAAACCCCACCCAAGCATCCCGTATCTTTACATACAGTCCCTGTTGGGGGAAATGCCTTACAGTAGGGATTATATTCCTATAAATAATTTTTTGATGTTGAAGTAATGGCTGCGCTACAGGATCAGAGTAGATCTCGCGAAGGGGAAGCAGTGTTGCATGGATCTGGGTTGGTGGAGGTATCGTTGCCAGACATTGGTCATGGATGAGCTGGACTCTTCAGTCTTGTCGATTGGCCCTGGATTGCGGGTGTTTAAAGTGGGTCTCTCTGTCCAGCCGTGCAGGTGTTGGTAAATTCCTTTTCCATAAATAGGAATGGACTTTCCTCTTAGGCAGCCCTGCTGGTAATTGCCATGCAGCCCCCAGTAAATTCTTCAGCCGTCGGGCTTTCGAAACATTTATTAGTCTTAAAGCTTTTTGCTGCTTCCTGGTTTGTGGTCATGAGTGTGGGAAGTTGGGCAGCTACAATGTAAATCAGGAACATGGATTATTATGTAAATTTCCACTAATACAGTCATACTACATTTCATTAATAAAGTGGTATTTGCTTTACAAACAGGTTATGGCGGGTGAATCGCCAGTTTCCGTATTTGTTGGGATGCAATCATCTCAGTGGATTTTTTTTATTTATTTACTTATTTAGAAGTTTTAGTTATACAACTTGTTTCACTGAAGGTTGTGAGGACTATTGGGTCTCACCTGA